AGGAGTTAAACATTGGAATGAGCTACATCACAAAATAGCTCAATCATTTATTTGTGCTCAAGTAGAGACTGGAATGCTACAGAGAGGATTCTTTAGAGACATTAGGCAAGAACAGGGGTTCTCAACCCTGGATGTACATTAAAATAATACAGGGAAGGGAAGATTTTTTTTTAATGACGATGCCTACTCCAAACTCCAAGGCCCACTTTTAGTCTGGGGTGGGGCCTAAATGCCTGCATTTTTAAAAACCCTCAGGTAAAGAAATGTCAATAATACAAATAGATTGCATCATTGTCAACATATTGGTTGTGATATTATGCTACAGTTTTGCAAGACATTACCATTGCAAAAAAAAAAAAAATCAGTAAAGGACATTTAGGATCTCTCTGCATTACTTCTTGCAACTGCATGTAAAAGCTGAAGTTTTAAAAAAAATCAGTGGAGTGGAGAATCTCAAATTCCTGCCAAATCTAAAAGACTATAAACTATTCTTTTAATCTTAGCCAATGAAAGGTAATTAGGAATGTTTATCATTTAATAATGCTTTGCAAAGCCAAATACAAATATTTAAGATTAATCCAAGTTAAAAACTTCAAAACTACTAAGTCCTCCCATTGGTATATAAATTGACTGAATAAACATTATACACAGTTGCAATTTACCTCTTGATTGAGCCAGGTACATATACAAAAATGATAGGCAGCCTCTAAGGTGGCCCCAAGGATTCCTACCTTCAAGTCTTCACACTTTTGTGTAATTCCCTCCTCTTGATTGTGGGCTGGATTTAGTTACTCACAACAAGTAGAATATGGCAAAGTGATGGGATGTCACTTCTGAGATGAAGTCATAAAAAGACAGTGGCTTCCATCTTGGGAGTTCTCTCTCAGATTCCTTGCTCTGAAGGAAAGCTGCCGCTGTGCTGTAAGCCGCTTTATGGAGAAGCCCACATGGCAAGGAACTGATGTCACTGGCCAACAATCAGTCAGTGAAAATCTAAAGCCTGACAACAGCCCCATAGGTGACCATGGAAGGGGATCTCCCCCAATCAAGCCTTGAGTCCTGCAATCCTGCTTGATACACTCTTAAAATGTGATATTCCTAAAGGTTACTGCCCTTCTCACTCTACTCATTCTCCCTGAGAGTCAAAATCATGACAGTGCATGAACTATGACTATTCTAGTGGTTCAGAACTATCATTGCAGTGGCTAAAAATACATAGGTGCTCAGGCTCCAATTTAGACTTAACTAATGAACAACAATCTCTGAGAATGAAGCCCAAGGACCGCTACATGCGCCGAGGGCAAAAACTATGCCCTCTACTTGACATGGCAACTGAAACACAAGGCACAATCAGTATTTGCTGAACACTGTTGTGGAAACACAAAATGGCAAGTTTAAACATTCCTCAATTGCAGAATTGAGCAGTGTTTAATAAATTACCTAGCTAATTAGGCAATTACATTTAAAACAAATCTTACTTTTTTTTTAAAAAAAAAAATATCTTTATTGATTTCAGAGAGAGGAGAGGAGAGGGAGTGAGAGAGAGAGAGACAGAAACATCAATGATGAGAGAGTCATTGACCGGCTGCAGCCCGCAACCCGGGCATGTGCCCTGACTGGGAATCGAACCCTGATCGCCTGGATCCCAGGTCGATGCTTAACCATTGAGCCACGCCCGGCAGGGCAAATCTTACTTTTTAATATTAGCAATACTAGTTAAGTAACATAGTAGGGTAAGTTGGTATAGGTTAAAGCTAAAGAAAATCCCTGTTCCCCCCCCCCCGTTCTCTTAAAAGTTCAAAAAGTAAGCTAGGTAGCCACAAAGGACTTAAATAAAATAAAGCCAAATTAAACTGTAACAAGACAGTTACAGAAAGCCAGAAAACCAAGAGTTTTCTAAAAGAAAAAGTGCTGACTTACAACTACGAATAATAGTATATATCTATTGTTAGCCAGAACTACTTTCCCAGAAAAAGTAATCCAATTCCCAAGGAAAGATCAACTTGGTAACCTTATTACATTTCAATTGTTTTCTCCTGCAAATTTATTTTCAAATTCACTAATAATATACCTGATTTCATACTGAAAAGCAGCACTGGCAGGAGGTTTAAATTTTTTAGAATTAACAGTAAGCTCTCTAATTTGAACTAAGTAAAACAATGGTTTTTAACTTTATGAACTTAAAACTTATTGTCACACTAAACCAACATTAGTTTTTTAAACTGAAAAACCTAAACTGATATTTAAAGCCTCTATGAATATAAAAAGGTCTTATAAATCAATAAAAGATAAATATTCCAAAAGGGGGTAAATTTACATGAGCAAACGCAAAGGGCTATTTACAAAAGACAAATCAATGCCCAATAAACATGTTAAGAGTTCAACCTCATCAGTTTTTTTACCAGTTTTTTTTTAAAGTAAATTTTATCAATGATGACCACTTTATCCCATCAAGCACCAACTGGTGGGGGAAACTAGCATAACTCTTCTGAAAGTAATATGGTAATGTTTCAAGTGCCTTGAAAATGAGCAAATCCATTGACTCAACAATTCAATTTATCCTAAGAAAATATTCAAAGATTTAATCTATGAGGGTATTCCCAATGAGGTTTATAAAAGCTAGAAACTAGAAAATAAAAGAGGTCAACAATAACAGACTGATTAAGTAAATTAGTTTAGATCTGTGATCATATAGGCACTTGAAAAATATTTACTGACAGGAAAAAGTTGAGATGCCTTCTGCTTTTTTCTGCTGAAAACATCAACGTAACATACTGTACCATTCTGTTATTAAAAACACCTATAACTTATGCAGAGGGTCTGGAAAGAACTACAGTTATAAATTTTGATGTATCTCTCTGGGTGTCTCTTTTTTTCTTGCCCAGTTTTTTCTTAGAGTGTGCATGTATTAGCTGTGTAACTTTTAAAGTTTAAATCTATTAACATAAAAAACCTATAACATAATTAGAGCCTAGTTTAGATCTAGTGAGTATACTATTTGGAGAAAAGATGGTCTGGGATAAAATCCTACCCTTTGATTTACTGATATTTCTAAATATGAACTTTTAACAAGGGATAAATATATATTCAGGAATTCTATTTAAAAGTGTCCTTGACATAAAGTCGACTAGAAAAAAAAGAGTTTTCAAAATCAAGCATGGAAACATGGTAAAAGTAGGACACCTAAAAAATCTCTAGTATTTTGTAGGTCTTTTTAGTTGAGTTCATGCGTGTTTATTCTCTCCCCTAAAATCACAAAGAATGAATGATGTAGAGTGCAATACCTACATATCTGTTCCAGAAATGCCATAAAGAACTTGTAAGGTTTGGCCTCAGTGATTAAAACACACCTAAAAGCCAAGAAAGTTGGATGAGATTTAACTACATGAAAACAGACTATAAGTTAAAAAGTTCAATAATAAAATATCCATGAGTTTTTTTAAAGCTAATTGAAATGCCAATAAGCTAGGTGATGAGTTTGAAAACATCAGATTTTATATAGTTGCAAACAGTGAAAACAGAATTCAACGTTTTACTGTAAATTCTTTTGATAAGGTTTCCTTAAAAAAAGAAGAAATCTCAATTTAGTGGACTAAGAAGTCAACTGTCATATTCTGGGAATCAGAAAAAGAGCAGTAAAACTTATCTTTTTCCTACAACCCTTCAAATTCCTCCTTAGACTGCATTATCTATATGCAAGTTTGAGATTTCCACTGTTTAGTAATAGCACCAGATAGCACAGGTTTTTGCAGGGGTTTTTTGGTTTTTTTACTCTAACTCAAAACACTGCCTTCTAATGGGCCTAAAAAGATTATTCAATTTCCAAAAAAAAAGTTGCTTACTAGACAATACAGTAAAAATCTGTTAATCGTGCAAACTCAACAAGTAGGCAGTGACATAATGCTAATGTGCCAGTGAATATTAGCCAATCAATTTTAAGGGGTAAAAATGTAATGATTGACATACAAGAAGGCAATAGTAACTTGCTATTCACGTATATAGTTTCCTTCCATGTAACTTGTGTTTTCTAAAAGTTGCATTGAATTGAGACTTCATTTTTATTCTTCGATCGTATACCTGACCCCTCATCATAAAACACTTATTTCCTAAAGCTCAAAAACGCAAAATCTGACTCTCAAGAAGATTTTTTTAAATGTTATCAAGTTAAATCAAACCTAACTTACTGACCACGAAATAGAAATCACCAACGAAAGGAGTCCAGAAGCAAAAAGCCTTTCTAAATCACAATAGAGTCTTGCCCAGTATCAGACAATAATACTGCGTTTTGTTGTTGTTTTAGCTGCAAGGCTGGGTATGCAATTTGCAGTAACTCTTCCAACAGATTCAAGTCAGTCATATATTACTACTGGGAAAAGTAACAGGTCCCAAACAAACAGGAAAGACGTGAAAAGATGCAAGCAGAAGCCTCACCATCGGAAAAAAAGGCCCATCAGCACCTCTTCCGAGAAACAGTTCCCTTCCCCCACCTTTAAGTAGGCACTTAAGACTGCCAAACAGATCCATTTCTTTATTAAGTGGTGCCCACTTGGGGCAACCGTACACCAAGCTGCCCTTAGGCCTACTCTAACCCCTTCCAAAAGTGCTCAAGTGAGGCTGAAGGCCGGGGTAACCCTCTCAGGAGCCGTTTTTCCTGCTCTCCTCCACCACCGCCCTCCGCCCAGCCCCCGTAGGCGTTCCTCCGGCCAGAGGAAGGATACCGGGCCCAGGGACAGGCAGGAACTGCCCGCAAAAGAAGTCTCAGGAGGCCGAAGGACTCCGCCATAGCAGGACCTGGAAAGCACCGCCCCAGCGCACCTCCCCACACCCGGCAACCGGCGAATGTCTGCTTTCGACACCCTGTCCCCAGCAGAAGCAGCGGAGGAGACAAGGGCGGGAGGCATCGGGCTGCGCTGCGCACCAGGCCCAGGCCTGCCCCTCCGGGCAGCCTGAATCTGCTCCCCGGTCCAGCCCGGCCAAGCCAGCGCGGCAGCCACACTCACCTGGATGACCTCGTTGACCTCCCGGATACATTCCACCATGTGTTGCAGAATCTGCTCGGCCGTGAGCACCTCGTAGCGGTAATCCTCCTCCTGCTCGTGCCCCG